CAGGGGACACGCGAACAGGAACCGCCAACGACGCATGTGGCTTTGCTTCAAGTTCCACGGAAATTTGGCCTAGGATTAAGGTGGGAGTTAGGCATTAGGTTTAAGGGCAGAGTTGGAGGCAGGGTCGGGATTATGTTAAGGAGTAAGGCTTTGGTTAGTGTTAACTGCAGGTTTAGGGTAGGATAAGGTTAGGCATCACCAAAGTAACTTCAAAACCCCAGAGTTCTGTCTCACTGGACCGGCGGTAAAATGAAAGCTATTCCTTTAACATGTACAGATAGCATATCGACTGAACCAGATCTAACAACTGATGAAGGGTAACCTTAATAATACTACGGTTCTATTGCAGCTAGGATCCATGTATATCTTCTATGTAGATAGTATCATTTAGCCTGTACTTCAATAGTTATGACGACCGGTTCCTATTGGCCTATTCGGTTACTTTTATTCGATATCGCTACGTGCGAAGGAAGTATTTTCTACTTTACTATCATTCGCGTATTACAGATTTCTGGGGTTATAGTTATACTTATGAACCATCTTTATCTAGGGTAGAGGTAAGGTTAAGATCAAGGTTACAAGTTATTTTAAGTCAAGGTTAAAATACGGGACTATCTACATCTACCACAAAGCCACCTATTTTAATTAGATGGGGCGTTCTTGGGCGGCCATATATGTCACCCTTACCATTCGAGTTTCTAGTGGACTCTCCACCAGCATTTTAAATGGTTGTCAATACTATCGAACCTGCGAGCCCCAGGAAGTGATTGAAAAGAAGGAGAAGATTCGATCGCTGGAACAAAACTCTTATTCGCCTGATGTTTCGACCTCCGTCGCGGATTCTTCATCAGAGACATGAGTAGAAAGCAGTAGCAGGAACGGGTGATCCATGCAAAGGAAGTTGCAGTATTTATAGGACAGAGTCACTATTGTACATGTATTACGAATAACGACAATTAACGATAGTTTCCCTCTTGTGCGTGAATTGCTCGATAACCGGCATGCTGTCCGTGACCTGCTGAACTTGCATCGCACGTGTGGGAATTGGACGTGATGATTGCTCGGCCATCTGGTTCCCCAGTGTTGGCGTAAGACGACTCGGCGGTCTGTCCGTTCCCCAAGTGGTCACTTGCTTTCGCCAAATTGAGCCTCAGCACCCAATATGGACTTGCTTATGGATTTTCACCTCTTGCGAGAATTTCCGCCTCATAAATACTACAACTTCCTGTGCATGCATCACCCATTTCTGCTACCTATTTTCTGTTTATGTCCCTGATGGAAAATCCGCGACAGAGGCCGAAACGTCAGGCGAATAAAAGTGTTGCCCTAGCGATCGAATCTTCTTCTTCTCCATTTTAAATGATAATTCACTTTTGACTCCTCATTCTCCTTTTCGACATTTCTAGAAAGTAACCTTGATTGTCACCGTTGTGGACTACGACCGGATCGGCACATCTGAAGCCATTGGTCGTGTTGTTTTGGGCTGCAGTGCTCAGGGCGCTGGTCTGCGTCATTGGTCCGACATGCTAGCCAATCCTCGACGGCCAATTGCCCAGTGGCACACACTGCAGGAGATGCCAGAAAAGGGCTAACTGCCCGGCCTCTTCCCCCGCACGCAAGCCCTCCGCTGCCACCACCACCACCACTCGCCGTGGAATCAATGTGATGTCGGCAAAGTTGCCATCGAAAGAATTATCTCTCTCTCTATCTCTCCCTCT